ATCTATGATATGTGTTGCTGGCATAGAATTTAAAATGAGCTAATATTTTACAGAAAATAGAAAATCAGTTTAAACATTTGATATGTTTTCTATGTTCTGTTGTGAATAAAATACAGAAGTCTGTTTTTCTTTTACATGGTGTTCCAACGTTTTTTTGGAATTGCGGTTGCACATATTAGGAAAGGCACTGACACACACACACATACTCTTTCCTATAGTGATTACCCAGCCCACGGCCCACTGTCGCTACAAGGATTAGCTCTTCTGTCACCATCCAGGATCTTGTGCTTTAAAGAGGGAAACAGCCTGAATTACAGCCAAGCTGACAGTATGCACTTCATCGCTCCTATTTCACTGTCTCAGACTCTCTGTATATATCTCTGACTTGATCCAGTTCAAATCACCTTCGGGAGCAAAGTCTCATTGCTCTATGTTTAAGTGTGCTTGTTATCTAGATGTGTGGCTATCCATGCTGCGGGAGGGCATATGGCTGGAAGAGTAAAGAAAGAGATGTTGACACGCAAGCATTTAAAACATACACGCACACACTCACACTCACACTATCTATGCATAAAAATGCAAACAAACACTGTCAGTGAACTGGCATGCAGTTCAGATGAGGTCTGATGGGCTTGGCTGGGCTGGCAGTCGAGTGCTTTGGGAGGATCAAACTATAGCTCTTATCTCTCTGGCCTGATGGTCTAACCTCTATTCCCTGCCATCAGTCGCACACACGCACACACACACACTCAGGCACACACACAAACACACACACAAACAGGCACTGTACTGATTGTGTTAACTACCTCACTTTTAGCCACCTGACTGAATACAGCTGAAGTAGCTAAACTGCAGCAGAGAGCATAAATCTGTGCATCTGTTAAGGGAAAAGAGACGTCTTTGTGCAGGCACTCGTAGGCAGTTTCTGTAGAAACGACAAAACTGCACCCCGCCTGCATAGGTGTCCGGCTTGTAGCACGAAGAGGAATTGTATTCCAATAAATCATCTGCTTAAACTCCGACTTTGAGTCATAAATGATTTTATGGATTCATTAAAAACAAATGTAGTTATACTGTATATAAAAGATGAACATAGCAGTGCTATGAGTAATTGCTTTTACAAAGTCTGATTCTGCTAGCCTTGGGTACTAGTGATTTATGTGCCTTAGGACATGCAGTACTGAAACGATCAGCTAATGCTTGCAAGCTTGATCATAAACCTCGTGAATAAGAGGTCCATATTATCTCCCCATGTACTCTGGCATCACCGTTTGAAGACATGCATGTGTGACTGACTCAGAAACAACAATTCTTCGATTCCTGGACTCCACGTGCTCTCCAGCCTCGGTGGTGCTCGTCTCATATTGTGAGAGTACACCTTGTACAGTTCTGTCTCTCTGTTATAGGATCCACAGTGGATCCTACTACATACATACTACATGACAATATCTCCCCCCGAGCTGTTTTCCTGCTCTTCCTTGCCGTAGCATGTGTGCATATATTATATATAATGTCCCCCCCTGCACCTTTTGCACAAGTCGAGGAGCGTGTCAGGTTACATTTCACTGTGTGTTATACTTGTATAACTATGCATATAACGAATAAAGAACCTTGAACCTTAGCTGTGAAACGTTTAAGATTTTGGAGTTTGATGGCATATGGTGAACAAGGCATTGTTGCCAAAGAAAAATAAAGAGAAAGGAAATGAAATTGCTGTCTATGAATTCTTTACAGCACATGGTTCAATGCAGTCTTTGCTCTTTTTTATAGTCAACTTGCACACATACACCTAATTAAACTTTAAATGCATTTTAACTCTAATGAAGAGAGGCAGATATGCTCTCTAAATCTTTGAGTAATAAAAAGAAAGTCAATCAAGTTTTTCTAATCAAATACACGCCCTCATTTCTATGACTTTGCTGCTTCTCATGACTAGCACAATGTGAAGTTATGCAGCAAGCGACCTTCAGTTGCTAGGAAAACCATTTAAAGATGTTCAGAGAGGAGCAGAGACGTCTCCATTAAATTAGTTTTTTCCCTCTCTTCTGTTGTATAATTGCTTATGCTCAGATGTACATTGTGCTGAAGTACCTGCATGCCAAAAGTAATTACAGTTTTCTCAAGGTGCAGTAATAACTCTTATAGAAGTGTCAGTTAAATGGAAATGCCTGTTTGTCATCAGGCCATGACTTACTGCTCTTTGAGCCTCCGAAGCTTTGCCTTTTTTTTCTTTTTTCTTTTTGAAACATTTCATAAATGTTGTAAAAACTGGTATTTGATGCAGAGTCCAGTTGCATGGCTCAGATAAGAACTCAAATTTACACAGTGCTTTCAGACTTTAACCCGATAACAGCTCACAGTGAAGCTAGCAATCAGACAAATGAAGAAATCCACGTTTTTTTTTTTCTGCCTCCACATTCCAAGCCATTAGCACTTTTTATGGGTAAAGAAATTATAGTTGGACATTCGTGTCAAGCAGCCAAAACTTCAGAGAAAAATAGAAAAGAACCTTTTTGAGGGTTTAGCTGGAACATAAGCCTTCAAATAAACAAAAGGAACAAAGAATTAAAGCAAGCCGGATATAGACTACTTTTTTCCATGTGTGAATTAGATTTAGCCATGCCATTCAGGCATTTAATAAAAGAAAAAATGGAAAAGGATCCCCATTGTGAGAAATTTGAAAAGTGCACGCTGAAAGAGTTCAAATTTGCTTTGAATTTAGTCTAATGAATCAGACCTCTCAGGAGCGCTGGTCATGTGTACGGGAAAGTGTCATGGAGAGACACGAGGCTAACAAAAAACACTGCGTGTTTGGTTGTCGTTAACATTGTTAAGGGTTTTCATGTTGAGTGTTTTCGTGCGGGTTATCCGAGCTCAGGCTCAAAGCAGCCTGTGAAACAGTCATGAAAAGGTGCTGTGCTGACTGTCATGCAAAAAAGCGACTTTATAAGTAAATTTATTTTTAGAATAGTTATAAACAGAAGTAAGTTTTATGTTGGGAGCACATAGACAAAGCAGGGATGCATCACCATGGCAACCAAGAAACAGTGCTTGAAAAGAATTGGCGTTATTGTAGTTTTAAGTAGACCTAACCCAGTAGTTTTAAAACAGCTACATCTTACTCACTAATGCAGTTTGAATTAATAACACAATAAAAAAGAAACACAAAATCTTTGAAGTGTGTGACTTGAACTGTTAAACTGGAGTCTCTGCTGCAAACTACAAAATGATTTCCACCAACAACAAAACCACCAAATGTGGATTTTCGCCCCCTTTTTAGAATGTGGGGAATATGTCAGTGTCATTCATACATATGAGAATCTGTGTCTGGCAACACAAAGCAACAGATTACAGGTCATGGTTGGTTCATATGTACCAGTTAGACTAGCAAAACTCTAAAAGCAGGTCATCATTTCCTTGTTTTAGAGATTCTGATGGCTTTAAAGCCACGTTGAAGAAGAAGATGTGTATCTTACTTCTTCTGTGCAAAGTTCAAGATTTAGTTCACTTTAACAATTAAGTTGCATTTACTCCTGAGTCTGATATACAGGGTGGGCCATTTATATGGATACACCGTAATAACATGGGAATGGTTGGTGATATTAAAGTCCTGTTTGTGGCACATTAGTATATGTGAGGG